TTTTTTTTTTTTAATTTTTTAATTTTATTTTTGTATAGATGCTTCTGTTAGATTTACCTTAAAGCTTAGCACTTTTATATACGTTTCCCTCACTTATTTTCGACACACCCCGAACGCCAATGTTAGCCTTTCAATTTCTTATGTTCTTATGTTGCCCGGTAAAGCTAAAAACACGTTGACATTTTAATTTATTTAAAATATATAGATATATGTTTTCTTTCTTTTTGTGTTTATTTATGTTTTTTTTTAAATGTACTTCTTGGATCGTTTGGTGTTGTTGTTTTGCTCCTGTTTTATCTAGGTATTAGCACAACATATTGTTAAAAGAAAGAAAGAAAATATAAGAAACTGTTGAATTGTGGCTAAGCTGCTGACTTATTGAACACTTTCTGTGACTTTATTTAGGTAAATATATAATTAATTACATTATATTGCTATTTGCTTATATGAGAATTGCTAACGAAACTTTGTGGTCTGTCTGCCCCAAATGCCAATTGGCCATAATAAATTCCCTGCAGTCTAGTCTAGATTGTATAGCACCTCTGGGCGGGGACTTTATCGATTGGGTAAACAAAACGTGAACGAAATCAACAATAAATAACAACAGAAATAAATAAAAAGCAGAAACACATATATATTTTTGAAAATTATAGATTCGCCTTTTATTCAACATTTGTTTAAACTATTTAGGTGTGTGTATATAAATTTGAAATAATTGTTTTGTTTGTTTATTACTTTTGTGTTTGTTGAGGTGTTTCTTCTTCATTCATAGCTAATTTCCTTCTTCTGCACTATTAGAGTCACATATTATTATTATTATTAATATTATCATTATTATTATTACTGTTATTGTATATGTTATGCATTGTTTGTTGTGTTAATTAAAATAGTTGTTGCTCTTATATCTGCGCTTCCATATCTCTGTTTCCATATATGTACTATGTATTCCTATTTAGATTCAAACTAGCTTTACCATTTAGTCATTAAATATAATATAATATAATATAATATATGTATATATTTTCACGTGTTTTCTTTTCATTTGTCGCTGCCTTTGCGCTTTTAATTACAATTATACATTAGTACGATATAGATTCATATTATATAATTATAAATAAATATATAATATAAATGTATATCATTAATAAATTTTTTTCGCGCTTGCTATCTCATTGTTATTATATCTTTTATACGTTTTTACAAACTACTTTAATTTTACTTTTTGTTTTTCTCTTAATCAGCCAACAAAATTTGAAGCCAAAAATCGAAAAATCGAGTCCGGCTAACAATTGCAAAATATGAACAAAAACGATTCTGGTAGAGGAAATACATTTTTTTTTTTGATTTAATAAAATGGTTTGCATGTATTTTTTATGTATTTTTTGTTGCTTTTTTTTCGTTAAGTGTCCTTAAGATTAGAAGCACAAGAGTGACTAAGAAGTGCGCCCAGCAAAAATGACAAAACTCCAATTGAAAAAAAAATACTAGAACAGCAAATACAATTAAAAGAGAGAAGAAACGTTAGTTAAAAGTAGGGGCGCTTACAATACGCTAAAAGTATGTATGCATATATATATGTATATGTATGTACGTATGTATGTATATGTGTAAATATGTATATATTGTATGTACATAAATAGTATTAGTTATTATTTGCCTTTTCACTTTAGTTAATTAATTAACATAAAAACAATTTCAACTAAAACACACTAAAGCGTTTCAAACTATATAAATTTATTATAAACTATATCTAAAGCAAAAATAAAAAAACAGAAAAAATAACCTATATATGAAATTGTTAAAATTCATGAGCTTTTTTCTTTTTGCCACGCCCACTTGTGTTGACCAGAAACCTAAATCCCTAACGCCCATTTACAGCTTCAGCTGTTCATATTGCGGGTTATCTGGTATTTCCATTTGATTTTCATTCACTTTTCTCGTTTATGTATATTTTTCATAAGTTTAGTTTTAATGCATACAATTTTACTAATTAATTTTAAATTGATTATTGAAATATATGATATACGTTTGTTTGTGTAGCATGTATATATTTTCTTTTAAGTTTTTTCTTTTTTTCTTTATTAAATTTTCAGAAAAAGTTAAATATAAACAACTAAATATGCATTGATTAAAATTAAAATGACAATTTTGCTGTTCTGGTTGTGGGTTGTCGATAATTAGCTTTCTTTTTTTATTTTCTTTTAATTACTTTTTATAGCAGTTCCTAGTTTCACGGTTTAATTTACAATTGATTTTATTATTTTAAATATATATTTAATACCACTGCTTTACAAATATGTTGTTGCTTTTTATTTGTTTTTCTTTTTTTTTATAGCTGGTTTTGTACAGTTTTGTTTATGTTGCCTATTGAAACGTTTGTTTGTTGTTGTTGTTTGTATTGTGCTTGTGCTTTCTATGAATGCAAGTTTCAAGTTTCTCTCTTAGCAAGCTCCATTGCAGTTCGCTTAGATCAGACAGACCCGAACACCACCGAATCTAATATTGCCCCTTGGTTGGTCGAACCTTTGTCTTTATCGAAGTGTTTTGTTGTTGTTAAGCAATTGCGAGGCCCTGGGACGTTTTGGTCTGTGTTTCAAGTAGCTGAATATTGTTTTTGCTCACTCTCTCTCTCTCTCTCTCTCTGTCTCTGTCTCTGTAATAGCTGTGCTACAAAGTTTCTGCCTTGATTGGGGAAGAATTTCGTTTTCAATCCGAATTTATTGCATTTACCACATTTTGTTTGATTCTTTTTTTGTTTCGTATTTTCTTGTTTAATGTCTAATGCTAACAACAAAATTTATATCTAAATATATGAATTATTGTAGATTGGTTTTAATAAAATTGTTTATAATCACTAAAAGGAAGAAAGCAAAATTAAAATATGTTTTATGTATGCCCGTTCATATATTTATATATTTTTTACTATAAACAAAGAAAAACTAAATAACGCTTAAAGCAATAAGAACCTATAAAGACAAACCATATAATATATATAGATATATATATATGTATATGTATATGTGTTACAGCGCTTGCAAATTTTCTCATACCGCCAACGTAATTGACATATAAATATATAGCATAAAATGTTTATAATGTACCCCAATCGATTCGAATCGTTTAAGCTTCTTCAACAGCAACTATAAACATGTACAGCTATAACCCCATATATATATAAATATGTATATATATGTGCTCATCAGAAAAAAATAAATCAACTGAACAGTATTTATAAAATATTATGCATTTGAAATTTTGGGACAAAATTATAAAAATATATATATATATATAGTTGAAAAAGCGCAACTTGCACTGCATTCGCCTGCTTCGCTAAGCTAGTTAATTGTATTGAATTTTCGTTTTGCTTTTTTTGTGTAGGTTTATAAGAGTTTTAACACGCTGCTGCTCTCTGTCCACTTCCGTCCATCACTTCTTTGCGCCCTCACTGTGAGGCAGACATATATATATAAAGATATACATATATACGTGTGTTTTCCATTTTCTCTTATGTATTTTTTTTTCATTTTTTTCAATATTTGTCCAAAGGAATTTCTATACATTTGCTTAATTTTTTTTTTTTTTGCCTTTTTGTTTTGCTTTTTCTTTTTTTTTTTTTTAATACATATACATACATAATTAATTAATCAATAATTAAAAATTATGAAATAGTTTTTTTTTCGTAGATGGTGTTGCTTTTTTGTTGCTATTGAATTAAATTTGAGTTTAGTTTTATTTTTATTTTTTTTGCTTGCGTTTGTATTTTGGCCTTTTCGTTTCCTTTTTTTTTTTTATACATGCAACACATTACAAACACAAATTACACACGTTGGCTACATAAAATTTATCTTCTTTCGTGTAATTGTTAACAATTTGTTGATGCGTATTTTCTTGTTGCTGCGTTGCTGACGAGGCTTTCTTTGAATACAAAACATTTGCAACCTGCAATAGGAATAACAAACTAGAGGTGCTTCGATTGTTGCCGTTGTTAAATATATATCTATATATTGTTGCTTGTTGTGTGTTGTGTCACAGGTCACCGTTCTTCGTAGGCAACAACAGCCAGCGACGATTGCTTGCTAACGCGCTAATACGCGTCTGGTTTAAGTTAGATTTTATGTTGTTGGTGTTGTAATGGTGATTGTTGTTGCAGGTGTTGTTGTTGTTGCTGTTGGTGCTGCTGTTAATCTTGTTGATGTTGCTGCTGCTGCTGCTGCATCTGCATCTGCTGCGGCTGCTGCTAATAATTTTTGCTGCTGATTTTGATGGTGCCACTGCTGTGCGAACATTTTCATATATTAATGTCATTCCGAGCAGTTTCCTTTTTTTTGCTGTTGCCATTGTAGTTGTAGTTGTTCTAGTAGTAGTTGTAGTAGTTGTTGTTTTTGTTGTTGTTGATTTTGCGTGGTATTTGGTTAATGTTTCTGTACTATTGTTTCATGTTACTGTTCACATTATAATTAAATTACAATTACAATTATTTATAGTATATACATATACATATATATTTATATGCATGTGTGTGTGTGTGTGAGTGTGAGTGTGAATGTTGTGTTGTGTGCGTGAGTGTGTTTTGTGTTTGTGTATGCGTGTGTGTATGCGTGTGTGTATGTATGCGTATCATGTGTTTTCTTATGTTTTGGAGTTTTTTGTTTTGTTGTTATATTGATTTGTTGGTGCGTAGCGTGTGTATATATATACTATATCATAATGTGTAGTTGTTATTATTCTACGGCTACTGTTACTGGCACAATCTCTCCTCGCAATTCAAATCTTTTGAATTTTCTCGCCAACTACAACCGGATTATTGCGTCGAATCTCCTGGGCGCCATGCTCTCTGTAGTCAAAGGTGCAATTGTGTTTATCGGAATAGCGATGCACGGCACAGTATAAGCCGCCACAGCGACACTGGAAACCTGTGAACAGAATGGGGAAATAGACAACACATTAGAATATCAATGAAAACTGGATAATCAAATATATATCTATATATTGTTGTTGCCCATACCAGTTAGGCCAACCTTCTTGCGGCATTCACCACATCGGTTCTTTTTCTTCTTGGCGTCCTTGTCGTCTTCCTTGTCTTTATCATCCTGCTCACATGCGGAGGCAGCTGCTTGTGTGGAAGTATTTGGACCAGACGCCGCAATTATGGCTTCGCTATTGGACTTGGAGGCGACTGCGGCTTCCTCGGTGATTTTCTAGACACAAGAAACATGAACAAATTTAATTTAAATGCCATCAAGTCACAAATACAACAACAACAACAACAACATCGTGTGAGCAATCTGTTCCAACTACATTCCCAAACTATTCAATAAAGATTTTGGTTTTTCTATTTAGAATTTATTTTTTTATACATTATTTTAATGCTACCTGTGGGAATCTTCTTACAAGCGATCCCCCCACACCCTGTTCAACAAAAGAGACTACCTAACTAAGCGTGAATGTGTGTGAATGTGTGTGTGTCTGTGTCTGTGTGTGACTGGGTCAGCGTGTTTACCCGCTTCTTGACAACCGCATCAACAGGAGGGGATGCAATGGCCCCCTTTAAGGGTTTTCTATGCTGGACAAGCTCGTTCTTTATGGGACTTTCTTCTGTGGAGCTCGTCTCTTTAATCCGGCGCTTGCTGTGCGACGTTTGATGCTGATGCTGATGCTGATGTGGCGGCGATTGTGGTTGTTGTTGTTGTTGTTGTTGCTGAGGTTGCGGATTTGGCTGCTGCTGCTGTTGTTGTTGCGGTTGTTGTTGCTGCTGCGACGGCGGTTGTAGCTGCGGCTGGGACAAGCGATGATCGGACTTTTGTCTCGGCTTCTCGGGTTTATCGCCATTGGATTGTTCCATTGCAAGCAATTACGTCACGGGCGTGCGACACCTGAGCTACAATTAGCGCACAAACTGCGCCGTCTTATTTTTTGGCTGCGCTTTTTAGGAGTAAAATATCCCGTTTTATATCCGGCTGTATGGAGTAGGCTAGACGCGGACACGGTCTGATTGCAGTCACCACCGGTTGGCGATTGCTTGTGCCGGCCTTGATGCGGGACTTGGTCAGCCGTTTGGCCTTGCGAGCTACGCCAGCTACGGACGGCTTGGCGGCTAAGGGCGGTGGTGCCTTGCGACCGCGCGCAGTTGCCACAGGCTCGACGTCTATGGCCGCGCCACTATGTTGCACGTTGCGGCGCAGGACAGAGCCGGACTTCTGTGATATGGATAGCTCAAGCTTGCTCGCGACGCTCTTTCCGCCACCCGACGAGAGCGGGCGGTTGCGCTTGAGCTTCTTAATGGGCTTTTTGAGATGCAGCTCGCCTATGCGCGTCTTCTTGTCGGTGGCCGGAAAGGTGTGCACGTTAGTCGAGAATTTAACCTTGCGGGAGCCGCTGGCCTCAGCTTTGCCACTCCTCCCAATTGGGGCGATCACCGACGCACCAGCGGTCTTTCGTGACAGTGAACTCTTTTTGACTTGACAATCAGCTATGCTCAAAGACGGCGGGACACGAGCTGACTTGGCACCAGAGCCAGAGGCGCTACCGTTGCCTGCCTTACGGATTCCTCCGTCCGCTAAGGAGGTGCATTGCAGCGCCGGAGTGGGAGATGAAGGGAAAACAACATTAATGCTACTGCGCAATGCCTATGGGATAGGGAGTAGAGGAACTGCATCATATACCCTTTGGTGTGACTGAGCTGCCTACTCTCACTGGTACACGTACGGGTCTGGGTGGCGTCTGTGCTCCGGCCTTAACACGCGCCACCTTCTTGCGCTTGCGGCGATGCACTGTCGTCGGCACGGAGCACGAGCTGCCCTCCAAACCAACGTTTACCGGGCTAGTGGCATCTTTGCGGACTGAAGGCTTGCGAGAACCCCCCAAGTTAGGCATTCCTTTTAAATTTCGGATTTTTATGGAGAAATTTTGTGAACCGAAACACTAAACCAAATGTTGAAAGTCTACACATACTACGATACATTTCGCCTTGTGCCCAAATAACTGATGTTAAACTCAAAGGTGTCGCCACCTGAACATGCACACACTTATTTAACACATGCTCTAAGAGACTCTGATCCTGAGGAGGAATTGCTCAAGGGAGTAGAGTCAGGTATCGACTAAACCAGTCATTTCTACACCTTCATATATCCTCATATATGAGTACTACCCATGTTTCTTTGGTGATCTGCTAAGATCTCTACTCTTATGCTATTCTTAATTTCTATAGGCTTTAAACGACCTGTAAATTGTTATGCAGCTGAAAAAACTAGCAGCTAGTTAGCAAACTACAGGTGAACAATAAATATAAATAGATTTTCAAGTCGTAGTTTTCTACAATAGATTGATATTGTAATGATTATAATCTTAGTTGTAACTCAAATTTGCACGGAATTTCTTCTTTCTTTACAATTGCCTACCAAAAACGATAGTGACCACAATATGTCAATATATATTATCATAATATCCTATAGCAATTACATTATTAATAGTATTAATATCTATGTAATAGAATAGAATAATCCGCCTTTATATTACTTCAATTTACTATTCACAATCATAATAAAATGAATAATTTATGCAATTAACCGTGATGTATGTATACGGACTCCATATATATATTTATATGGAATTTCAACTTAAAAAATTTTAATAGGTTCTATCTAACACGTATAGTAATTTGCACCATCAAATGTTTTAGCTTAAAAAGTATCTTATGTAGATATCAATTTCCATCACTTAATGTATTTAGCTTAGTTTAAACTTATTGCATCTTAAATGATCTATGTGATCTGGTGATATTACTTGATAATTGCAGACAATATTATTCTATTGCTTGATTCGTAAGCTGTGAAATGTGAAAGATACAGCAGGTGCGAATGGGTGAGCAAAAGTTGAGTGCAGTTGGGGAAACAACAGTTTTGATTCACTGCAAAGCAGCGGATGCTATAGACGTGGTTTCGTAGCGTTCTCAGAATAGGGCGAATAGCGGGGAGCAATATAACAGACACGATTCACGAGTTTGTAATCAATTGGGTTTACCTTGTCAACTCCGCCGTAGTTTGCAGCGACACGTGGCCAGCACAGCCAACACACACGATGCACTGTTACACTGAACGTTTCCTTCTATATCTTACACATACAAGTTGTTTACACTATTTCACTTATAAGAAGACTAAATTTATATCCGAAAAACAAAAAAATTTGTGACTGACTGATGAAAAATACAAAGAAATCAGAGGCGTCCCCAAACTGCTTGGCCTACTAAAGGAGCCGGAACAAGAAAGCCCACATCGATGATGGCTTTAACATGGGACTCACCTCTTTGATATCACTGTGTGATTGCTGTAAGCTCTGTACCGTGGGCTGTGCAGTGTGGGTTGTTGCGATGACCGGACTGAATGTGGGGCTAGGCTGTGGGCTTGGAACTGACACAGGTGTGCTGCTCACAGGTGGCTGTTGCTTTTTTCTAAGCGAGTCCTACAAAAATAGGGATCCAAATGTTAATATGTGCGCGGCTTCTCTCAAAAATTGATTCGTGAGCAACGGCGGCTCTTTCCATACTTACCTTGTAGCAAACTGAACACAGACCATCTGTAGCGGGATTACCATAGAAACCGCATCCCGAGCGGCACATGGGCTGCATTGGATTTGATTCACGTTCCATTCTGGCTGTATCAAGTTTATGAAGTTTTATATGTGTGTGAGTTTTTGATTGTGTGCGTGCGTCTGCGTCTGTGTCTGTGTCTGTCTCTGCGTCTACGTGTGTGCGCGTAAGTTTCAATAAATTACTCCACAACGATGGATCAACGATGGATCGACGATGGAATCGTCTATACGTCTTTGTTGTTGTTGACTTTCGCCCAGCGAAATATGTTTTGATTATTTCCTGTTGCTGCTGCGGCGTCAGCAACTTCGACTGCGTTCCTTTCGCCTCGTGTTTGTTTTCTTGATGTTTTATTATATATAATCAGTTCGTATTACTGTTTACTTAACTAGCTTCCGTCCAAATAATAATTAGCTTGCTTCGTGACTGACACGCGGAGCAACTAGAGTTTTTCAATCCAATCGTTAATCTGCAAAACAAATTCAAAGTAAAAGTCGATTAGTTCAGTTGCCAACACGAAATCGCACTAAAAAATACTCGAAAAACAAATGCGAAATTGATGTATAAAATACATTCGATATATCATTGCTTTTTTTTTTTTTTTTTTTGAAGTAAATACTATGAGTTATGTCAAAGCTCCACCTAGGTATACAACCTTCAAGATCGAACAATCGGATATGCAAATGCATTTCGTCAATTATTTAATAAAGAAAATAAAAAATACATTTTGTATTTAGCTGCGGCGATTGTTTTTCAAAAGAAACAATAAAGTTGTAAACAAAACAAAAACACTCAAAGAAGAGAGCGCAAAAGTAACGATTGCGTTGGGCCATAAACAAACAAAAATTACATCTGGTTTTTTTTGGTTCCTCTTCAAGGCTGTCAACATACACATACACATACATACTTGTGTGCACACCGATATAAATAAACAAGATCCATGCACGCACACAGGCACTCATAAATACGATCCACTCACGCACACACACACACACACAAGCAAGCCACAAAATAACAGAGAAATAAGTTAGACTCAAACCAGTTTCAACCGACACAAAGCCATCCACATTAGAGAGGTGAACAGACAAAGACCAACAGAGAGACTGAGAGAGAGAGAGAGAGAGAGAGAGATGGAGAGCTAGAGAGTTAGAGAGTAAAGATATGGAAAAAGAGAAATAAAGAAATACTTCAGCAGAGTGATAAACAGCAAATTAAACAAGTTATATATATTTTTTCAATTTTGCTGGCACAAACAGGTCCATCTAGTTGATTCAAAACTGTATATCGAATACAAAACAAATGAACATATTATAGTATATATCGATATTTCGATAAAAAAAAAAGTACTTCCAAACTCTGTATATCTTACAATAACTTTCCCAGCTTATTAACTAAAGAGAAACTCTATAGCCAATGGCTTGGTTCCAATTGGCTAAACAATTGTAATCGATATCATTATTAATACAATCGCATACATATTCTTATAATAAATATAAATAAATCTATAAAACACTGCAAAATTAGAGGCTTTCTGTGTATCTTTGTACGTATTTGCCTTATAGTATTACAAATTCCTATTCTGAGAAAAGACTTTTAAAGACAATATCATAACTCAACAAAAGCTACGTGCTTCTCTTTAACTTTTATTTAATGTAAAAACGGTTTCGGTTAAAGTATCCTTTCGTGTTTTAGCAGAGCTGATCGAGATAATTTATATATACATATGTATATATGTATACTAGTCTTTATGGTTTCAAGCCATCCAGTCCTCGTTCTTATTGCAGTATGATTTTGCAAAAGTAGACGTTTTTATGATAGTCGACTGCTGTTAATTTCATAGTTACGTACACATGTATATACATATGCATTTGTATGATATGGCATATATCTGAATGTGTGGTTGATTTCCTGCTGTTGCGGTTAATTTAAAGCAAAAACAGCTGTCAGTCAACGATACGCTTCTCTCTCTCTCCCTCTCTTTTTCTCTTTGGCAATCACCCCAGACATGAAAATGTCAACTGCCAACACACATACAAACACACATGTGTAAAAGCAATTCCCCACACGTTCCCAATTACGTTTAAACACATTGAGCAAGCAAAAGCAAGAAAGAGAGAGAGCAGCTGTTAACGAACGAGAGCTTACACACATACACAAGCACACCCTAGACACCACACCATGCGCAGCGCCAAATATTTGCCTGCGAAGCGAACAGAAAAATAAAATGAAAATGTATTTCTGATTACCAGAAGCTTTGCACTGCTGTTTTCTGTTATGTGTGTTCATTTGCTTTTTATACTTATTTACGTATTGTATTCTAGCGTATATACCCATATATTTTTATTTATACGTCTGCTAACAGTATGTTATGAACTATGTAAACTAAAGTGAGTGAGCACATAAACGTTTATGGCGCTTTACCTATGTACATAACAGAAAGGAAATCATATGACAGTTTGGCTCTATGATTAACAGATGACTGAATGTGTCACTCACTCAACGTGATGTGACGTCACTGTGGCTCTCATTAAACTTAAAATATCACACAACTGAGTTGCTCAGCAACAAATGTACGTACGTACGTGCCTATGTACATATGGATGTGAAAACATGTGTGTGCCAAATGCGCATTTGTGAGCATTGCATAAGAAATACATAATAACAGTGCCAAGTACTAACTGCAAAGCATTCAACAGCATAAACAAACGTATGCTGTCCGGAGATAGCAACAAGTTAGACAATTGGCGGGGAGTCATCGACTTGAGAGCCACCCTGTACAGGTATACGTGATAATATTAAATATTTATAAATATGTAAATATTTATTTATATTTATAAATAAAACATTTTAAACAATCTTAACACATTTTATGAATACAGGTTATACAAATATTAAAGTGAACACGAATTCCATAAGTAAGTTAATTATTCAATACAACTGCAATGTAGAAGCTCAGTCGGTCGTGTTGCGTTATTAAGTAAACAGGATTCTTAGCACTGTAATATTAAAACGGTAATACGCGAATGAGACTAAAACAAAGTAAAGGTTAATGTGCCGTTGACCTGTATTTAAATCATGAAAGTTACAACAGGAAAAATGAAGGGGTGAGCAGAGCAGCATAAAAGGTAAGGAACGACATTGTGGGCAAGAACACAAAAAAACACATACAAAGGGAGAGTGAGAGACAGACACACAAACACATACACACAGACGTAAACAGACATGCATGGACATACGCTTGTTGACTGCGCTTGAGTCATTTTTACATATTAATGAAGGAGTTAAGCGACCAGAGAACAACAGCTACAACAAACCAAACGTCGAGCAAGAAGCTGATGAAATGCACAGAGGAACAAACATCAGCGGCTTCAAGCTGCGCCGCACATTGAATTATTAAAACTTTATTAAAAAGAGCACAAAAAGAAGATCTGGAGAGAGCGAGTAAACAACATGGCGGACATCTGAGCTTGGCCCATGAATGAGCTTTAAAAGCCATGTCGAAGAATGCGCCACTCTTCCGGCCACAAATCAAGAGTAAGAACTCAAACAAGCAAGAAGGGGCATCCACTATAGCACATACAAATAATCAATCAACGTGCTATGCTTAGTCGAAGATAAAGCTGGCAATTTAAATGGCTTTCAATTCCACCAGCAAGGCATCACAAATTAACGGCAAACGAAAAGACATATGCTCCACAAGAGAGCACACACCTTAAGAAGCTCTTTGCTGGCTACCTCCAGGGGTCATTATTCACGATAAAATTGCAAACTTATAAATTTGCGTGAACAGATGTTAATAACATGAGAGCTCCAAAGGCAACTAAACAGTGTTATTTAACAGACATATTTATTCCTTACTCATTTCAACCTAAATACATATTCAGGTTATATTTATTGATTATTATTATATTGATTTCAAAATTAAGAAAACAATTTCTTTTTAGATTAAATTTAATTGCTTAGCCTTAAGGTGCGGTACTGTAAATGTTAATAACATAACGGATTCAATGCAGAAAATCTGTTTAACAGATAAATGCACTACAAATAAGCCACAGGCACAAAGCAAAGTTTGTAACACCTGTCTCAAATTATGTCTGTGGATCGCTCTTTGTATAAACATACAGTGGGTCAAAAAAGTATTGGCACACTTGAAAAATCGAACTTCTAAGAGCTGTAACTTTTTTTTGAACACAACTATAAATAAATTAAAAACGGCATTTATTAAATCCATGTTTTCTAATAATATTTAACAAAAAAAAAAATTTAATTTCTTGTTTGGTTCACTTGCAGAGAACCAAAATATAAATATAGGCACAAATTTTCGTAAAAAAAGTATTGGCACACACTATGTTCTAGCTTACGCTTTCGTTGCTACAACCGTAAACTACCGTTATTTTTCATTCCTTCTTTTACACATCGCTTCGTTTTGGTTGTTGCNAACGTCAAGGCTAATAAGTAGCATGAAGAGACGTTTGCAGGCAGTTATTAAGTCAAACGGAGGACCTACCAAGTATTAGGGTGATTGAGTGACGATGGAAAAGATTGTTTACGTCAATTGTGCCAATACTTTTTTTACGAAAATTTGTGCCTATATTTATATTTTGGTTCTCTGCAAGTGAACCAAACAAGAAATTAAATTTTTTTTTTGTTAAATATTATTAGAAAACATGGATTTAATAAATGCCGTTTTTAATTTATTTATAGTTGTGTTCAAAAAAAAGTTACAGCTCTTAGAAGTTCGATTTTTCAAGTGTGCCAATACTTTTTTGGCCCACTGTATATACACAGCCACATAAACACACATACTCATACATATAGAAGGAAACAAACCAACTCGACTGAATGAAATTTGACTGTTTCGGAAAAAAAGGAATGGCAATGGCTATGTCAGTTTCTGGTTGCCTAAAACTGGTTAGCTCAACCTCTTCTGCAGAGTGCAAGAGTGAGAGAGCTCTATGTGAACATTTTAGGATGAGGAAAGCAAATAATAACAGAGGAAGATCTGAAAGGATGCAGCTAAAGGGAATTACCTTGAACTTTTTATTGGCCGCTATCCAAGACAAAGACAGAGATGGAAGACAGCAGATGAGATGAGACACATCATGGTGCTGGCAGCATCAACAATATGGCGAGTACCCGACACAAACACACATACATTCATACACAGACTGTAGCCGTGCACATACATATACATTCTTAACAAAAGAATTAAT